CCTCTTAATTTTTCTCCATGCATTTCTCCCTCGCAGCTCGTGTTACCAAGGATCGCTGTAATGCACCATTGGTTTTGGAGGGGTTTACTATCCAAGTGGAATATGCGGTTGCTACATTCGGGCCATATAACCATCTCCTTGTCTCAGTTTCGCGACGTACCTTTGTCACTACGCTCAATCGATTACGAACCTTATGAAAAGTCTATATTTTTTTGTTTATATGTGAAGAAATGTAATATGATGGGTTCTTCGCTGCCTAATCGATAACAAACTAGTGCATTCTTCATAAATATTGTTGTTTATAAATATTAGAAACAATTATTATAATTTCAGATGGATACATTCAATTGCATTACTGAAAAATTTGTAATAATAAATAAGACATTTTCACTTTTCCGATTTTATTACGATTTCAGTAATATTTCAACTATTTTAACATATTTACGTGTAAAATATAGTACTTTTCTGGAAGAAGTTGAAACTTATGCTTAACCTGAAATATAAAGTTATATCACTCTTAGAGTGAATGAAATATAGTGTAGAATTGTGTATGTATTTAACGCTGTGAATATATTTGTATGTATTTGTGTATTTAAGTATATACTTAGAGCACCACAAGCATCAAAATTCCATTCTAAACAATGGAAAAACTAGATTTCACTACATGTTTGAATAAGTAGCTTGCTCATTTTTCTCTATTTTTGTGCTTTTCGTATTTGGTTTTGTTTTCTGTTTTTCAATTCATCCTTAAAAGCGTAATATTTTTAGTATGTATGGTTAAGTATTATTGAAAAAGTATTAAATGAGAGAAAATGAAGGCAAGAGTAGAAGAAAAAAACTATCACGTATTACAATAAGCTTTCGATTATGGAGTCCTTTCTCGCATTTATTCCGTTGTGGGGCGTAATAAAATGTGTACGTGTTTTAACGTGTTGACTATTAAAAAGTTGGATTTTTTCTTCCTTCGACTGTATTTTTTTCATTCTCATTTTTCCAATCATTCCTCTTTTTTTGTTTTAATCTTTTTTATTTTGTGTGTTTCTATAATGCAATAGTAGTTTTATATATTAGACTAAGTATATATTTTTCATAACATTTTAGCTTTCTATTACAGAAGCACTTTCATGCATACTTTGTAGGTACTAAAATTTGGAAAATAGGAATAAGAAATAAGAATTTGGGCGTGATGCTGTTTGTACATGTATTTATTATTTAGTAAACGTATTTATTAGGATAAAACAGTTATTTATTATTAAGAAAAGTGAGTGAATCGTACTTAAAATATTTAAGAAAGACGGAAGCATTGTACTCGTGCTAATGTACTTCAGACGTAATGCTAACAGTGGTAATAACCTAAGTAATGGCATGTGGTTCTAAAATATAGATAGATTCAATTACAAAATGGATACACATGTAGTAGTAGTGGTAGTGTTAATGGTATTAGTATTTAATTGCAAACTTATTACTGGCTAAGATACATAATTTACGTGACTCTATTTAAGCCTATAGGGTGGTAGAAAAGTATAGGATTCGTAAAAGGATTTTAAGTATAAATTTAAATTACTTATTATTAAAACAAGGCTTTAACTAAAACACGATTGCATACAACTTAAATATGAAATAGTAAAATTCTTACTGTTAAAATTAAAATACACCTAGGCCCTAATCGGGCCTGTTGCCTAAGGTGGGAATCGAACCTACGACGTCCGTTCTACCAGATTGGAACACTAACCACTAGTGTTATAGTATTACTAATTAATTTTTTATATCTGCCACCTATACATACGTCAATATCTGGAGATAAATATGTTTTAAATTTCCAACTACTCCCAGTAATTCTGGTTAAGTGTTACGAATAAGCTACAAATTGGATAATATAAAATTTAATTGGATAATACAAAGAACTGTTAAACATATCTTTTGATATTTTGAGGAATGGAAAAAGTGAAAATTTTTAAAATAGTATTCACAATTCTTTACTGAAATACAAACGTATGGATGCAAAGAATTATGTTTTTGGAATTTTAAACACTTTTTGTGTGATTGAAGGATTTGTAATATCAAATTGGAAACTTTTATAGATATTAAATGTAAAGAACTTAAATCTTCTAAAGTTGTCATTGTCTGTCTTAGGCCCATCTTTACAATTTGGCAATAACTAAAGGTAGGATTTTATAATGCAGATAACGCGTTTCTAGTTTTTATAATTGTACTTTAGTTAAAGGATATTGATAAAGCATAAGGAGGCCTTTCCGTCAGCTTATCTTTCCGTATAAATATAATAATGAGAAACAAATTATCGGCATTTTAAAATCCTACCTTTAGTTATTGGTAAGTTGTAATAATGGGCCTTAGTTTCTTTAAACGTCCTTTTATAACCAATATTTTTCTATTGGACGGATTTATTGTCAATTTGAGAGATTATTATCTGTTAGTACAAAGCCCAATTTTATATTATTTCATTTCAATTCAGTTACACGTTTATAATATCGAACGTATACAAACACTTTAAATTCTATTACATTCATTCAATATAGGTTTTCTTCGATTAGGCTCTGAAGCCAATAAGTAGATTTACACAGTGTCACATGAAAAATATAACCATATACGGACACCACTACTTGATAAAAGACAAAAAAAAAAATTACCCGTGTCTTCCTGTTTTGTCCAATGTCATGCACTTTTTTATGGCCCAAAGTTTTTGTAGCTCTTGTCATAAAGAACAAAAATTGTGAACATACAAAATCAGACCAGTGCAATTACTGACAAATCGAGTAGAAATTTCATATTATGTTTACCTTCTGAAGGATTGGCTTTACAGATGTATTACACAGGATGACATATTTAAAGTCATGAAATATAACCATATACCACTACTAAATCAAAAAACTTCATCTTCAATATCAAAACCCAAAAAACTTAAAAAATTTGAATTTTTTACGTTCAAGTGCTTTTCTAAATTATCAGTAATTCAGGGTCTGAGTTGGAGAACAACTCTCGCGTCATCACCAACATTTTATAAGGACGGTCAGGCTTGAGTTTGTTGCTAAGCTTTCGATAGAATTCGGTCTCACTCGCAACATTTGACTGTATTATTCCGTATAACTGTTTCCAAGTTATGAGTTTTACTTGCCTCATTTGAGGTTATGTTAAATTTAACTAGTGGAGACCATATAATACTTTGGATTTATAATTTGTTCGGGGCTCCAACTTCCTATATAAAGATATAGATCGATTGGGGCTCTCTCCGAAGCAACGTGGGATAACCTGGCAATTACAGTTTTTTAATACACGCCAACAAACTTTAAGAGTAAAAAAATTGGCGTTTACTTAATATTTGTAATATCAACAAATCATTAACACGTATACGTACAGGTGTCGTTAATAAAAGCATTTTACAATGTAAAACTTTCCACATAAAATGAAAAAATTAAGATGAAGTTTTTTGATTTTATATGTTCAGAGAGGGAATCAAAATTCCGAACGATTTGTAGGATTTTTTTTTGCAAAATTACACCGAAGACCCAAATCTTTGGGGGCCCATAAAAAAAGTGCATGAATTTGGGTAAAACTGAGCGACACCGATATTTTTTTTGTTGAGTTTAAAGAGTTAATAATAATAAGTTAATTATAAAGCAAAATTGATAACATTTTGCACAAGTTAGTTTTATACATCCAGAAATTATACAGTGATGTATGGCGGACATCGCGCCGTAATTAACCCTACCCCTCGTATGTGATTCCCTTCATAAAATTGCTTTATTCTCATAATCGACTACTAAATACACACTTGCGTTCAGTTATTACCATAACTATGGATATTTGGCCAGTTTGTGATAGCAGAATTTGCGGAGTATTATTGTGTGTCAACGATTCACAATAGTTTAGAGTTTAGAGAGGAGAGTAATGCTACAACTTACATACTTCCTAGGTTCTAAAAATTCGCAATTTAGTGCAAAGGCTAATTTTATTACCTTTCCATATTAGTACTAATATAAAAAAGAATGCTCTTTTTATCAACACCTCGCAGCGCAAGTTGCAGAAAATTTGCAGACCAGTGCAAGCTAATGATATAAATTACAAACAATGTTTTATTGAAAAACTTTTTGAACTTTAGTTATTATTATTCCTATTTTGGTTCCTAAAATAATTTGAAAATAATATGTCGAAAGAAGTTTATTTAAATCGATTGTTATATAATTTAAATTTATAGTTTATTTTACTTCAACTGCAAAACCAACAACTGACTGAACTACTGATATTGTCCATCACTCGGATAGTTCTTAGAAATTTGCATAAATGTTCAATTATATTTATTTTTTAACATTCATGTATGTTATTTAATACATAAATATATTTGGTTGTGCACTACAGTGTCAAACTGTATTGTTTTTGTGGTTTTCGGTTTTATTTTTCAATCTTAGTTTACACATCTGAATAATAATAAGTAAATAAAAAATAAAAATATTTTAAAATGAATTTTACACAACTGTTTTCCTGTATAAGTGTGTTGGTATGAATTACCGCGATGTATGAGAATTTGTTTGTAAATTGGAGTGTATGGTTTTATGGTTATTGGTTGCATTATCGAAAATATTATTTTGTATAGAGTGGAAATGATTACTTCGCATACTTACCGAATCCATTAAATATCATCTTCACAAATAATAGTATTATGACAATTTAATTTAAATTTTTAAATGATTTTTTCAAATTTCTTTTTATTCTTTTTGTCATTAAATTTATGGAATCTTTCTTTTTATATTGTATTTTTTATATATATATATATATAAGTAATATGTATATATGTTTGTATGTATGTTTTTTAATATACTTATTTAATTTTATTTTAAGTATACTTAAAATCTACTTACTACTAGTTGTGTTCTTACTAAAGTATTTATAATAAAATCTAATTGTAAACTATTATTTTATACTTTTTTTCGTTTTTTATTTAATTTTTTTGTATTTTTATTTATATTTTAAATTGTGGTGGAAATTTATTTTTGACTAAACAAAATAAAAAATGAATAATTTTATATATTTTGTTTTGTTCTATTTTTTTTAATAACAATAATTATTGTTTTCACATATTTATTTAAAACCTAATGGCTATAGCACAATTGGATTAAAAACTTAAATTGTTTGTTTAATTTATTATTAGTACTTTTTGTTTGTTTGTTTATTTTCTGTTTTGTAGATATGATGATGCTAATTGAAGATATTGCATGTGGAAATATTTTACAATTTTTTTTCATTTAAATTCAAGTTTGGATATCATTATTTAATGCAAATTCTGTAAAATGAGAAAATAATGAAAAAGTTTAACAATTTATATCTATTTACGAATGTATGTATGTAGAACATCTACCATGTGAATAAGAAAATTATCTCAGATGTTTATTTATTTTATTTTGTTTTATCAGCTGAAAGAAATTGAAAAAAATGTTTAAATGGTTAAGGCTAAACAGAAAAGAACACATTCATTGTATTACAAAATGGATTGGTCAGACAAAAGAATAGACAGACAATAAGCCGGTAGTTTACAAACAAAATCTACAACATCCATAGCAAAAAAAATCATTTTAAATACTTAACATTTTTTGGATATTTTTGTTCATTCTTGTTCAGCCTTTGAACACAGAATCTAACTAATCAGAAATAAACAAATATGTCATACATATTACTTAAAAAAATAGAGACTGAAAATAAAGTCAAAGGTTGTAGTATCTCAGAATTTCAATAAGACTAGTTATCTATGATCTCTGATCTCCGATAATTTAAAAAACCTGTGCGAAAACAACAAAAAATAAAACTTATTAGTTTGAAGCTGCTACATGCATTTTTAGGAAAATAACTAAAAAAAATTAAAAATTTGAAACTACAAATTATTATTAATCATACATTTATTTTGGAAGTAGACTTATAGCAAAATGTGTTAATTTACAATGTGTTTTTTATTAAAAACTAACAAAATTATACGTATATAGTTTTAGTAAATAGTTTTTTCTTATGTAAGCTCATCTATTTATTGTGATTCTAAAAAATCAATTTATAACTATACAATATAAAGACATATAAAACGATAAATCTAAGTAGAGTTCTCCATTTTTTATTTTCTCATTTGTAACACCAATTGATTTAATTTGTACTAAAAATTATCATTTTTAATTTCTCTCAATTCTAACAAAAAATATAAATAATTTATAAAAAACTGTGACTTAAAAGCCCTAACTACTAATAACTACCATAAATAATATAGAAAAAAAATCTGCAGAATACTGCAAAATCTTCTTAATTGATTTGCAAGTTCAAAAGTACTTTGGTCAGAAGAGAAAAAATAAATTATATACATATAAAAAACCTAAATCAGATATTTCACCTAAAGATGAGAACCATTTATATTTACATATTTTGATTTTATCATTTGATTTTGGAACTAAGAAAAATAAAATGACAATAAATTGCAAATTTTTTTTTTTTTTTTTTTGATATTATCGGAAGCAACCATAAAATGCTAATTAAAATTTCTTTAGTATTTCTCAAGATTTATAATCAAAATGTATGTATTAAATTTTATTAATACTAATTTTTAAGAATTTAATTACAGCACTTCTTACATTTTCGAAATTGCATGTTTTGCCATATTACAACTACAACTCAAGCTGTGCTGTAAATGTACTCCTTTCTTCGATTTGGTTTTAATTATTTTTTGTGTTACAAGTAGATTTGATTGTTATTTCCTCTTTTAATTATTTTAAAGTTTAATTGTTTTGTCATTTTATTAAGTGTAAGAGTTTGTGTGTTTGTATATATATATGAGTTTTGAATGGAGTGTTAACTATAGTTAGTGAATCTAGTTAAATAAAAAACTAATAAATATTCATATTTCTAATGTTACTAATTTGCAAAGCTCTCATTCTCACTATTTACACTTGGGTCCCGTAATACTAGAGTGACACAAATTCGCTACCCGTGTCTATATTCTTCGATGCAGCCTTATTTTGTGTTGTCCCTGATGTTGGCGTGGGGGATGACGATTGGCAGTCTTGTAGTTTTGTTGCTACTTTGGAGGCGGGAGTCTTCGTCAGCGGATTGCCATCGTTGAACAGTGTTTCGCTTTCTAGGCGCTCTTCGTCGGGCAAAGACAGAGTCGAGTTGCCACTGGCCGTTATTCGTCTGCCCATATTGTCATATTTTAAGCACGCTGAACCATTTTGCGTTTTATATAGTGGTCTTAGGGGTGTGGCATCTTTAGGCGGGCTGGGACAGGCAGATGGTGGTTGTAAAGCTGTTGACATGCAACCTGAACAAGACTTGGAGGTAGCATTTGTTGAATGTTGGCCATGATGGCATTTTACCGATGGTGGTGGTGGCGGAGGTGGAAGGCCTATTAGCTCCGTTTGGTGCTCCTGATAGCCTTGACTGTATGTTGTGTCCAGGTTGTGATAGGAGACAATTTCATCATGAGTGTAGAGATTGGGCTGTGGTAGCTGTTGTTGATGCTGATGCTGCAATGATGAATCCTTCTTGAGAATTCCTCTCCTCTGGTTATTTCGGGGTAATGTGGCAAATGAATTAACATTAACAGAAGAGTGATTTCCAACCATGGAAGAAGTTAATTGCTGTTGTTGATGCTGCTGTGCTGATGGTGGAGGTGACATTGTATCAGCACCATGAGAATTAGCTTGATTCGAGTTGCTTGAAGTCTGTTGAGTGACGACTACCGATGACATACCATTATCTTGTAGTCTCTGGGGTATGTTCAATAAGTCAGGGTACATGCTGATATCAGCTCCATCAAGCATGTCTTGTGTTACCGAGACACTAATAAAAATGTTGCCGTAAGTAGGGTTCGCCACTATATTCGAACAAAATTCTGGTGGCGGGGGAAACACCCCAACATTAAGTGGAAATTCTTCTGATATATGATTGTTATGCCCATCTGAGTTTACTGAAGTTGCCAAAGAAGTCGGTATTCCTACCACACTACACGAGCCATCACTCACAGCCATCAATTGTTGTGGATGATTAGACACATGGGAGCCAGCAGCACTAGTGGGTGGCATATGAGAATGATTATGTTGCATTTGCTGTGGATGTGGCAATTGATGATGTGTTCCCATCATAAGAGCATGGTGACCGTGTACACTTGATCTATGATTATCTGAGGAATGGATTTCAATTGGTTCAAAACCCATCACTGATTCTGCTTTGCTCATTGCCGTGGCAGTGCTGTGGTTGTTGTCTAGACAACTGTCTACTCGATCATTAGTCGTAGTAGTGATGCTTAAATCCAGTAACTTTTTCTCTTGATCATTAAAACTTACGCTGGGCTTTACACCGGTTTTACTAGGATGTCTTCTTTGACGGGTTGTTCGCTTGCATAGGCAAGCCACAAATGAAATAAGAATCAGCAAAAACACAGTACCAAAGGTACCCATTATCAAGCCAAAATACCAAAAAGTTTCCGGAGTTTTAACGAGAACATGTTGAACAATTTCAGTAAGATATATACTTATATTTTGTGAACCCACTCCCACCACATTAGTGCCAGAGCAAACATATGTGCCAGCATCTAAACTGGTCATGTTGAACACAGTCAGATTACTCCACAGTTTATCAGAGGCAATGGTTTCGGCCTCAAACATGACATTTTCACTATCTAAGATTTTACCATTGAGTTCCCAATAAATTTGCGGTAAAGGATCTCCGTACACCAAACAGCTAAATGTGACATTGCTGCCAATCTCAATATTCTGAACATCTTCATTGTTAAATATCTCCACTTTAGGTGAGCAGCCAAACTGTTCTTCTTCCACACTATCCCAAGTTTTGTCCTTATGATAAGGAGGTCCCTTACACAATAGACTTTCGCTGTACAACTTGCTATTGACATACCAGGAACGAAATTTTCTCAATTTACAATTACACTGCCAAGGATTCTCGTCCAGTACCAATGTCTTTAAACTGGTCATATGCTGAAATACGTATTCACTCAAATTCTCCAGTAAATTATTTTTTAAATACAAAAACTCTAGCATATTCAGGTTTGCCAAAGCCATGGGATCTATATAGGACAGCAGGCAGTCGTGTAAGTCAAGTGTTCTTAAATGTGGTAAAACAGGAAACTGATATGCCACTAATTTCTTAAGAGGGTTCCCATTCAAATAAAGTATTCTTAGGCGATCATTTCCCATAAATGTATCCTTGTCCAACATTTCTATTCTATTATCCGACAAATCGATTTCCACTAAAATCTTTAGATCCTTAAACGCTTCCTTGTGCACATATTGTACCTCAGACTTTTTCAAATATATTCTCTGTAAATTTAAAAGCTCTAGATTAGCAAATTCTTCCCTATTCAAATACGGAATATGGTTGTCATTTAACACCAGCACTTGAAGTTCTGTACTCAACGTTGTAGGGATGGCAGTCAATTGCAATGAACTACAGATGGCTGATTTCTTTCCATTTGTCCATTTGCAGGTACAGTTTGAGGCACATGAAAGGGACCAATCATCGCCCATAACCGATTGAATCAACAATGTTATGTTAAGCGCAAAAACAACTGCAAAAAAGGTATAAAGAGTATTTTTATTTTGTTAAATGCTATATTTTTGTTTCAATAATTCAAAAATAATAAGAAGTAATTAAGTCAAATATGAAACACGCTATAGAAGGACTAGTTATGAAGCAAAGCTGCTTTACCTATCTTGTAAAAAGTCGTTCATTTTCAGTGTGAGTGTGATTTATTGTTATGATTGTAAAAATTAATATCATGTTAATTGCTTTGTTGGGAATAGGGAAGCTATAATAGGAGTGATAAGTTGACTTTGCAATATTTAATACAGCTAGATCAATAAAAAGGGCTGAAGCAATTATTTCACTTTTACATACAAATTGTTTAATTATAAAAATGATAGATAAAAAGATAAATTAAAAAAATAAACAATATAATAATAAATAATTAAATTTAAAAAAAAATTAAAAAATTAAATAATAAATAATTAAATAAATAAACAATATAATAAAAAATAATAAAACAAATAAACAATAAAGGAACTTTTTAAACAGGTCCATCTTATTAGCGAGCATCGATTGACCCGAAATATTTTGGGAATTATGTTCGTATCCTGGGTAACACTAAACCCAAAATATTTCGGGTAATATCACATGACTTAACAATATACATACATTTAGAGTAGAGTTACTCAAATACCATTTTTTATGAGTCGGACTATGAGAAAAATGGCTTTGAATGTTTAATGACATTTTACTATTTTTTAAATTACTTTTAAACAAATCAAGGGAATTGAAGAATTCAGATAGTAGAGGTTAATATGTTTTTCTCATCTAAATTGAAATTCAATTTTTATTTATTTTATTTAGGTTTTACGTTTATAACAAAAAATCTTTCTCACACCTAAAATAATAGACATATTTGAAATTTCATAAATCAATGAAAGATTTTTTTCAATGAAAGACTTTAGTATGAGTTTGTTGCTCTCATTTCAAAAAAACTCAAATTTTGGATTATGTCAATCTTGTAGTAAATGAGCAATATGGATATAAATTATAATTTTAATCAATCAACGTACAAGTTAAAAATATAAAACTAAAGGTTTAAAGTGAAATTATTGTAAATTGCCTATATTATGATTTCCCCAAAATATTTTTAACTTCAAGGTTTTTAGAATTCCCTACATCTTAAGAATTTATGCTGCCTTTATCAGTTCATGTTGAATACATGTTACTCAATTGTTCATTATAAAAACAATGGAATGCAGTAATTATAAGTACGTAAAACTTTTGAATGTTTTTTCACAAGTTGCAAAAATATCGAATAGAGAAATAAAAAAAATTTTGTAAAAACAAAAACTACATGTAAAAATATATGTATGCATGTATGTATACTATCTAAAACTCACCTGACAAGCCAATTGCAACAGAATTTACTCTCATACTGATAACATTCGTATGAATCCTGATACCATTCAAGCGAAAATATTTATACTTTAAAGCATTTGCAGATTAAGCAACCAGATGATGGCAGCAGTAGCACGAGATGTTTTTGTAAATGTAATAGCTGTAGTTATTTGTTTGCGTTGTTGCTGTTGTAGTGGTTCAGGTACTGATGCCAAATGTGGGAGGCGAAACAAATTCATTCACAAAACGAATAAAAAAACTTAAAACATTGCAACACTGCCAGAGATTTCGTTTAAAGTTGTTTCTCTTTATTTTTTTTGATTTGTTTGTTTTGATGGCAGAAGTAAAGTCGAGAAAAAAATTGAATAAATTTTGCTGCAACAGGGAATTGTGCACTTGGAACGTTAATAATGGCACCTACAAATGTAGCAGCTGTTGGTCCAATAGATGGTGATTATAAAATTTGTTTGTTTGCTTCCAACCAAAAGCAAAAAATCAAAATGAAAAAATTATGTTCTCAATTTGCGTAAAAAACAAAAAAATGGTGACTGAGGATTATTTAAAAGCGTAGAGATGGCGTTATATAGTATAAATATTATGTATAAATTTAAGAGCACGAGTATTTCCACGGCAGCATACGGTTGTAGGGATGCACGAAGGAAAAGATGTCGTTAGTTTACAAAGTTTTATTGTATGATTTCTATTTTGGCCGTAATTCGGGTTGTCGTTAAATTGTCTATATATGTTTATAGAAATGTCACATGTGACACATTTAACATTTTATTTTGATGCACAAACTGATATTACAACACTCAATATAAACATTACACACTCCCATTCACTCATTCATTCATTCCTTCATTCAAGCACTCAAACACACACATGTACTATTAAGATGAACAATTTCAATAGCAATTGTTGTTGATGCTGCCACTGCAGTTACTGTTGATGTTGTTAAATTGTTTTCAGCATTTTCCCGCACAATGGCAATAGTACAAACAGTTGCTGTTGTTGAATGCAACAAAATATTGTTTGTTCACAACAACTATGTGTGTTGTGCATGTGACAATATAAGTGCTAAGTTTTTGTTTGACTGTTTGAGTACGAGAACAATTGGAACATTACTGTTGGGTGCGTACTGAAGACAAACGTTTATTTCGTTTTCACTTGGTGCCAGTATATGAGTATGTAATATTGCAGTTTTCCACTTTTTTCTATTGTTTTTATTTGTAGGATTTTTTTCCAACTTGATTCGTTTTTCTTTTATTTCTTTTAAAGTAAAATGTTCACTTATTGTTGTTTTTGTTGGATTTTTTGTTCAACGCATTCGAATGGATTCTTATGAATTGTAATGTTTCTCGCTATGACACCTTTTTGCACATGTTGCAAGCACTTAAAAGCATAGCTTGAGTTTATTGATTATTTACAAATTGGATTTGCCTCTTCTCCAACACTTCGTCCAGATAACATACCATCCATTGCTTAACATTTGTCCATTCGATGTATGAAGGTAGTTAAACGGACCATATACTTGCATGAAGAAAATTTATTCCATACGATTGCTTTCTTATAATAAACTTCAATAAATTTCTTTTTTACTTTTCTTATCTTCAGTTCTTCAATTTATATTTTCTATATTACTCTCTATATGTGGGATAAGCACAACTAGTATAAATGTATCTGTTTACTGCAATATACAATATCTGTTGGTCGCTTGCCCTCAACTGTTACGCACTCAGTTGATCCTTTTGTTATTTGTCAATGTTGAATTGCTGCAATAGAAAAAAAAAACAAAAATATTATATTCCATTAAGAATTCATTGGAAACTGCAAAGGATTAGTTTTACTCATGTTGTATATACATATATGCATGTATATATACATATATGTATGAATGTAAGAATATTGTTCTTTTTCTCATTTTAAATTTTGGTATACATAAATAATAATAATAATAATAATATTCAATATTAAATGGGTGATAAATTTGTCAATTCCATATGGATGCATGTGGATGAAGTATAGAAAACACATATGTTTGGTGGACTAAACAAGTATTTGTATCAATATAAACAACAACTTCATTCAAGTATAACCACTAAAATCTAATCGTAAAAAGTTCTGTAGGAATCTTGCGGCAGCAACTATATCTTATGTACAAGCATTAAACTAATTTGAAAACCATGTGAAAACAGCTCTGAAATTTTTGCTTGTTCCTTAAGGGAACAATTTTCTAGTAAATGATAGACGCTTGTTAATATAAAAATTAAAGATCTTTCACTTAACTATATGGTCAATTTCGTGTCAAGTGACTTTTAAAATCGATGTCTTCCGATTTGGATGAAATTTGAACTAAGGTTAGTACAATTGGATAGTAGACAATACAAATTTTCAGCTCTATCGGACAACTGGAGATTGTATAAGCTTTCATCTGAACAAAAAAAGAGAGTTAAAAAAAATAAAAAAATGGAAACAATGAAGAAAAAAATAGGTGAAAAGTTACACTAAAAACCCTATATGACCAAAATGTCCAACTTTGACCCCTTCTAAGTCTGGCAGTTCTTGACCGATAAAGCTGAAAATTTGTGTCTGTCTTCACCCAAATCGATTTTTTAAGTTGGGTCACTTGACGCGAAATTGCACATATACAAAACCTTACTTCTAACCTAACACTTAAAAATTCTGCCACATTTTTGCAACACTTTATAAATTTTATTTACTTAAGCTGGTATTTAGCATTTTTATTATTTTGTTTTCAAAATTTTTATCAGTTGACAATCATAATTTTTAAATTGTTTCAGACAATTGTTTTTAAACACTCGTTTATTTTCATTATTTATTCATAAGTATTTGTTTCGAATAAATAAAAGTTTTATTTTTTAGTATTTTAAATGCAAATATCGGTAATTTTAGCACACAATTCGTTTTAGTGCATTTTTTTCATAACAAAACTCGTTCGTAAGTATTTGTTTATGTTTCATTTCAAATCCTCTTTAATATAAATACACACTCGCATTCGCATACACCAATAGACTCACATAAATCCTCTTTACAAAGCTTTGTTTTTAAAACATACCACACAAAAACAGACACATGCATATGAATACGTACACATACTCTAACACATACACACGGACCTTATTTTGTAACCAAAATCGGATATGAAAAACAAAGGTTTCCGTCAAAGAATATAAAGAAATTGGGGCTTGTCAGTTGGTACGTAAAGGAGTTGTCATTCGGTACCTAACTCTAAGTATGTATTGGTAGAATTTTTGTATTAGTATTGGAGCTCCAACCACTTTCACCACACTTTTCAAACATACATACTTGCATAAAATCGTACATAAAAATTTTAGGAAAAATAAATAACATTTAAATTTCTACATTCGCAGATTTTTTAATTTATTTTGCCCACATCTAATCGGTAAACATTAATTAAATATATTTTTCGGACTTAAAATCTCTTTTTTTGCAAAAAAAAATAAGTTTATTTTAAATAATTTTTTCATTTTCAATACCAAAATATACAACTTTGTTTTGTCAATTTTAATTTCAACACACAAAAATTAATTGTCAAAAAAATTAAAAAAATATTTTTTTAGTTTGTGAAAAATAAAAATATTTCGGATTGTTAAATGCGATAAAATTGTGCAAAAAATTAAAAAATAGTTATGTGTTTGTGAAAAAACGTCGTTCAAGTCCTATTATCCCGGTATTTTCGCGAAAAAGTTTTGAAGTATTGAGAGAGAATTGAGTTCTCACAAGTGTGTTGAATTTACACAGAACTCGTCTGTGAAGAGAAGGAAATGTTATTGTTGTAAAACAATGTCATAGTCCAACTTCTTATTATTCTTTGGTTTCCGTTTTTTTCATTTTTATTTAAATGAAATTTTTTGAAATTTTATAAAAAAAAGTAGCTCTAAAATGAAAACATAAAAACTTTAAACAATAAAAAACTATATAATTTTTACAAAAACTAATGGATTTTATAATAGGGCAAATAATACGTATTAAAATAAACTGTTGACTTAATTTATATTAATTTCGTATAAATAGTTTAATAAATTTTTTGTATGTTTAAAGGATAATGCAATTAAAATAAGTAATTATAATTTCTATAATTATTTTATTGTAATTGCCATGTTATTTTTTAAATTGTAAATCAGATTATAAATAAAAAATCATCATTAAATTATTATAGTATAACCAGAACTTTTATTTAATTAAAATTAACCCCACAAACATTTGTAAGATATCTTCTATAGAAAATACTTATGCAATATCTTAATTTTAAATTTAAACATCTGGAAGAAAATCATCAATGCAAAATAATAAAAAATGTATTTTTGTTGTCAAACAATTGTATTGTTTTATGTAGGAGGATTTCTCTACTACGCAATAATTTTACAATATCCTTATAATATGATACAGAAGATAATTTATCCAAATTAATTTGTTCACTCTGCTGGGTTTGCTCACTTTGCAGGGGCTTACGCATCCTAAGAACGAGAACTAAGAACTACCCTCCCCTATACCTCACAGCGTCTGTCCACTATGTTAAGAGCGGCTGTCGCGACCTCAATTTGGTAGTGTCTGTTCCCTTAGTTACGCGGGTACCAAAACCCTTTTTCTTCATTTTTCAGGATCACTGGATCAAAATTGGTTCAGAATCCCTCCGACTCGTTCGTTCTTCTCCGGCTAACTTGTCCGCGGTGAAGCGCAGTGAAGAATCCAAGCGGCTTTGAAGTGGTACAGATTACTCTGCACCAATTCAAAGCACCATCGGACGGTTTTTCTGCATTTTAAGAAGAATAATATTATCAACGTAAAGTTCGATGCGTCCGGTCACGAAACTATGTGCTTCTCTCTCTCACCCCCAAAGATAAAGTATGGAAAGACATTAAAGTTTTCCCTCTATCTAATTACTGACGATTCAACGGTAGTTACATTAGAGCGACAAGTCATAATAATATCCTCTGCGTACTAACTTCACCCACACTTTTGGAATGGTGCAACATAAGGGGCACCTTTATAAATCATAAGAAAACCGATTGATACTAACCACCTCCAGAAATGGATAGTTTATATGGTACATAGGATTTGGACGACTCAGCAGATTTTCTATCCAGGACATTAAGCAAAGCCTATTATGCATCATGTAGGATGCGGCAGGGACCTAGGAAATTCTGGCAACCATTGTGGAATCCTCGACTAATGCATATAAGGATAGAATGTAGAAATCTTTTTAGTAAGGCGAAAAGAAATCAAGATCCGTTAAGCTGGGACGATTGTCCAAAGAGCCTAGTACGCCTGGATTCCTGATGAATTCAGATGGTAACTTTACTGAAATTAATACCGAAATTCGGGAACTGCTTATGGAGGAACACTTTCCGAGTTGCAGGGATAATGAAAACGAGAGCTCCATGGAGAAAATTTTGTGTGCGGATGATGATGTCATATTTCCAGCGCTACTCCAAAAATGTATTTCTATCATCACATCATGGCTTACTATGACATTTAGGAGCAGCCAGGATAGTAATAAATTAGTAATGGAACAAAAAAGTAATAATCACCATGATATCTCCGATCAATAATTTTACGTAATTTGCGCATTTAATATTGGTGGTTTTACTAATCACAAGCATTAATCAAGCATTAATAGCTGACTTTGCTTTCATATATCCCATATTATCATACCACATCATATCACATCAAAACTTCCCCATTTGTCAATAATGTTTTTTATATTATCTAACACTTGTTACACAAACACCAACATGGCAACTTATTATAAATAAATAAAAACTAATACATTTTACTTCAATAATTTTATCAATAAAAATGTTTTCAACTAATATTTCATATTAATTATGTGTCATTTAATGTTTAATTAATTAGGAAGCATTTATAATTAAATTTCTAACAAAACTTGAAAATTGTTTAATTTCTAATACATTGTATACTCAGTTAGTTCTCCTTCACAAACAAACAAAAAACCCAAGAAACTTCCATGTCGACGTAAAGAAGATTCTCAATTAAAAGTTTTCTTTGTTTTTGTTTATAGTTTCAGCTCGTATTTTTTGCATTTTATTGTTATAAATATTTACAATTACAGGGTGTTACATAAATAGAGCTCATATTTCATTTGGCCTTATAACTACAGACAAATGAAAATCAACCTATGGTAACAATCAGAAACATGCTAAAGTCTAAAGCATGCTTTCGATAATAATTATTAAAAAAAGAATTTAATATATTAAGTTATATATTTATTTTCTTCAATTCATATGAAGCCTATAATAGTTTCGCAGCACCCTGTATTAGCTTATTTAAGTCGTTTCCTGATTTTCTTATGTATAAATCTAATTGTTGTTTTTGTTGTCATTTTGAAAGAATGAAAATAAATGAACATTGTTTTCATTTTTGCAGTTGATTTTCTCTTGTTTTACTTGTTCACTTTCACACTTGTCAGTTCTTTTTATTTTTATTTAATCTCCGTTTCTTTGCCATGGATACAAAAGAAACGTAACTTTTTCTATTAGTAGGCTTCAATGTATTTCTATCGTATCTGTAACAGTTTAAGGAAAATATCTTAATGTAGCCCTTTACCTTATAAGAGTATAAATACATGTATATATATAAGACTTTGTGGATGATTGTAGAAGAGTATGTGTGTTTGTCAGCGTTTTAGTGTAGCGCATTGTTTGTCAGATACTGACAAATTTGCCTACAGATATATGTATTTGAATGTGTGAAAATAATCTTGT